TTTTTGGTGCTAGGGCTTGAACCCAGGGCTTATGCATGAGAGGCAAGCACTATACCAACTGAGCTATATTCCCAGCCCTGGAAATGTTTATTTTTAATAATAATTGAGGGGCTGGAGATGTAGCTCAAGCGGTAGCGCGCTCGCCTGGCATGCGTGCGGCCCAGGTTCGATCCTCACCACCACATACTAACAAAGATGTTGTGTCCGCCGAGAACTAAAAAAAATAAATATTAAAAATAATAATAATAATAATAATTGATCTGATTTTGGTAGTGTACAAATGTAATTCTAGCAATGGGGAAGCTAAGGCAGGGAGATCACAAGTTCAGGGCTAGCCTGAGCATTTTGTCGTTTTGAAGTTGTACAATCAATGAGTACTCTCTCTAAATAAAAAGCTGGGGATGTGGCTCAGTGGTCTAGCGTTGCCTATCATGCACAAGGCTCTAGATTTAATCCCCAATACCAAACACACAAATATTAAAATAGTAATTGAGGCAGGCATGGTAGTACATACTTGTAATCCCAGCAACTTGGGAATCTGAGGCAAGGGGATCACATATTCGAAGTCAGACTGGGCAACTTAGTGAGGCCCTGCCTTAAAGTAAAAGAAACTGGATAATATAGCTCAGTGGTAAAACATTCATGGGTTCAATCCCCAGTACTGCCCCCCCAAAAAAGTAATTGAATAAAGCAAGATACAAAAAATAGTGTTTCAAAGTGATTATAAATATATGGGACTGTATACATTAAGATTGGATGGATAGAGCTGGGGATGTGGCTCAGTGATAGAGTGTCTGCACTGCCCAGCACTGCCAAAAATAAAGATTAGATGGGTGTATTTTTTTTTTTTCAGGGCCAAGGAAGGACCAAACTCAGGGCCTTGAATGTGGATAAGTATTTCAAGGAGAGAAACTGAATTTGTCATTTTGCAGTTGCACAATCAATGAGTACCCATGTGCCAGGGTCTATACTAATGCTGAAGATACACGGGAGGCTCTTCTAGTAAGAGCAAGTCCTTGTTTTTAGAGTTAACACTCTAAGTCATGTGCTGACTAGAAAACAGAAAATTACAATATAATGTACTTGTGTAAGTACTGGCATAAAATACTTTGGATGCAGAAAGTGAGGTCGGGGTAGTTTATCACAGACAGTGTTGAAATTGGGACTCTCCCTTGTGAAGAAGGGTATACCAGGTAGGAAAAAAAACAGCACAAGGTCCAGAGGCTTGAGAGAGTTGCTAGGGTAGAATGTGTATAGGGAAAGTGGGAGACGAGGTAGCACAGGCGAAGTCAGTCTCCTGAGTCCATTGAAGGACCTACTTGGGTACTTTATTCTAGAGGCAATGAAGACTCCTTAAAGGTCTTTATAGTACTGGGGGTTAAGCCCAGGACCTTCCACATGCCAGACAGGTGCTTTAGTACTGAGCTTTACCCAAGTCCTTTTTATATTATTTGACCACAGGATCTTACTAAGCTGCTGAGACTGGTCTTGAACTTGTGATCATCTGTCTTAGACTCCTGAGTAGCTGGAATTACAGTCATGTGCCACCACCAGTTTTTTAAAGGTGTTAAAAGTAGGGAGTCATCTGATCAGGCTCTACTACTCTAGGGTTTTTATTCAAGAAAAATGATTATCCACTAAAGGGGAGGTACCCAGATATAGCTACCTCTCTCCTTTCCTACCCCTAAAACATTTCTGGACTCAAGGTTTCCATTTGGAGATCAGGGCTTGGGGGCTCAACTGGCCTTAGCAAACAACTCAGTAGTTGCTTGGGCTGGGCTGAGTAAGGGCTCAGAGACCATCTTTGACTTCAGTTACCTAGGGGAGGAAAGTACTTTGTGTCAGGGCATGTTTCTCAGGGACTGATAAGTGAAGAGTAGGTGGTAGGTCTCCCAATTGACTTAAAAAAAATTTTTTTTTTTAGTTGTAGGTGGACACAATGCCTTTAATTTTATTTATTTATTTTTATGTTGTGCTGAGGATTGAACCCAGTGCCTCACCTGTACTGGATGTACTACCAATAAGTTAGAACCCCAGCCTCTCAATTGACTTGAGAACAAAGAATCACAATGGCCAAGGTCTGCAGAAAGTTTATTTTGGTACTGGGGATTAAACCAGAGGTGCTCTTACCACTAAGCTACATCTCTAGAACTTTTTTTTTTTTTTTTGGAGACAGATCTTGCTAAGTTGCTGAGGCTGGCCTTAAACTTGCAGTCCTCCTGCTTTAGCCTTTGAAGTTGTGGAGAATTTATTTTGTACCAAGTATTGTGCTAAACATTTTATGCACTTTCAGTCACTTAATTATCTTAGCAACCTTGTGAGGTAACAATTATTATTTCCATTTTGCAGATGAGGAAGCTGAGGCTAAGAGGGGTGAGTTAGTGGTGAAGAGAATGTACTCCAGAATGCTGCCTGGAGCCTTGAGTCCTGGCTCTACCATTTACTAAATGTTTGGGGAAATTACAAATGGTGAATGATAATGATATTGATTATAGGCATCTAGTTAGCATTCCCCAAATGCTTCTCTTTCCTACGTTCACACCATTAGTAAGTAGGGAAGCCAAATTCAACCTTAGGTCTAACTCCAAAATCCAAACCTCACCTTCTTTGATCTTCTGCTGCTTTTGTTGAGGAAAGAAGCAAGCCTTTGAAATGGAATGTTTTTGCTGGGCATGGTGGTACACACCAGTAATCCCAGTGGCTTAGAAGGCTGGGATAAGAGGATTGCAAGTTCAAAGCCTCAGCAATTAACAAGGCCCTAAGTAACTCAGTGAGACCCTGTCTCTAAATAAAAATAGAAAAAAGGCTGGGGATGTGGCTTAGTGGTTAAGCTTCCCTGGGTTCAATCCCCTGTACCAAAAAACAAAACAAAACAAACAAACAAAAAAAGAAATGGAATGTTTCTGAGTCACAATCTGATTCGTAAAAAAAAGTGGCCTATTCAGAGGGTCCATGGCTAAGGGGTCTTGTGGCCTGTGGTAGACCTTGAAGTTAGGGGCTCCAGCAAGCTTGTGGAGGCATATTCTTGTTGTCATGCCAATCCTTTTTTCTCTCCCCATTCTTCTCCACCTCCAGTGAGAAAAGACGCAAGCCTGCATGGACTGACCGCATTCTGTGGAGGCTGAAACGGCAACCCCAGACCAGACCCTTTACGCCCAATGTGCCAGTCACCCACTTCTCCCTATCTCTGAAGAGCTATGTCAGCCACATGATGTACAGCATCAGTGACCATAAGCCTGTCACTGGCACCTTTGACTTAGAGGTGAACCCTTGGACTGCCCTACACTCAATAGAGGAGAAACTGTGCTGGGCCACATCCCCAAACCCTCCAGGCCTGGATTCTAATGTCAGCTAATCCCCCAGGGGAGACCTGTAGGAGGACATGATTGTCCTCCCTCCCAGGTCAGGTATCCTAGCTCTTCTTCAGAGCCCTGATGGCTCTGTCTGTCAAAAACATGTTCAAGCCCTTTGTGAATAGGTTTCTGTTTCCTCTTGGTACTCTCCCTTGGGACTAATGAGTTCCATTACGCTTATTACCTACTGTGTGAAGTAGGACTTCCTTTATTTGTCTTAAACCTATCTGGATCAAGTTGCAGAAGGAGCTCCCTCCATCCCTGTATCTTGCCATCTCACAAACAACCAAGACAGTGCTGACCTCCAAGCTGCTGGCTGCCCTCTCAGCCTTCAAGCTTTCATGTTGGTTTCTCTTTCCTACATCATTGTGCCCTTCCATGTTTTTATAGCTGTTCTTATCAGAGCATCCCTGCCTCAAAATTGGGTTTGGGCCTCTAGGTCAAAACCTTTGGAGGCTTGAGAACAGCTGCCCGACTTTTTTCTTAAACCTCTCAGCAAATCCCCTTCTCCCTCCACTTTCACCCTTAGTACTGGGCACCTTGTGTCGCCCATCTGGCACTCAACCCCATTCTCCTTGGCAGGGCCAGCTACTCCCCTGACAAGTTTTTGTCCCTTTCTCCTTCCTGCTTCTCTTTCCTACATTCACACCATTAGTAAGCAGGGAAGCCAAATTCAACCTCAGGTCTAACTCCAAAATCCAAACCTCACCTTCTTTGGTCTTCTGCTGCTGGGATAGACTTAACAAAATTCTGTGCCCACCCACTCTGGTATCCCTGCTCCCTGTACTGCATTGGAAGGGCACAGTGAGGAACAGTTACCTTAGAGGAGGGAATAGTGTTACTGAATTTCAACCTGCTTCTCCTCCCTGTTGTAGCTGAAACCGTTGATGACTGTCCCACTGATCACCATGATGCCTGATGGCTTGTGCACCATGGAGAACGACATGTTGGTCAGCTACTCCTCAACCCCCAACTTCCACAGCAGCTCCTGGGACTGGATTGGACTATATAAGGTGATGTGTGGGCAAATTGGGGAGCCTACCAGCCATAGCCACTGGTCTGTCCTTCCTGATGGCTCATGGGAACTGGGCAGAGACACTGAAGAACTTAGTCTTCCATCTCACAGGTCCTAAGGGCTAGCAGGGAAGAGAGGAAGAAAGATAGTATAATGGCAAGACCATCTTCCCCCCATCAGTGAGACTCATCTTCCCTTTCTATAGGTCCTATGTCCTTCCCAACTACTGACTACCCAATTCCTTCCCCCATAGGTGGGGATGCGCCATGTTAATGACTATGTGTCCTATGTCTGGGCCAGGGACAACCAGATCTCCTTCAGTGACAACCTCAACCAGGTATATTTTTTATTTACGATTTTTAAAAATTTGTTCTAATTCATTATACATTATAATAGAATGCATTTTGACACATTGTATGCAACAACCAGGTACATTTTCAGCAGGTGGGCTTGTCTAAATAGTCCTGCCTTCTGGAAAGAACAGAGTGCTAGATAAATTACCCCTAAGGGCTGGGAAGCACCCTCGAACTGACCATTTCTATCCATCATTCCCTTCAGGTGTACATGAACATCAGCAATATCCCTGAGACTGAGGATCAGTTTCTTCTCTGTTATTATAGCAACAATCTGAATTCTGTGGTGGGGATAAGCAAACCCTTCAAGGTAAGAGCTGCTGGTGGAGGAAAGGAAAAGGTATTATTAGAAAGGATTTGAGCCCATCGTTGGGTTCCCAGAGGCCATTGGCCCAGGAGCCAACCTATTCCTGTGGGGCTGCCTCCATTGGGGAGTGAAATTGATGGCAAGGTATGGAGGAAGGCCTGTGTTCCATTTTTTGCCATCTGTTTTATCCCTACAGATTCCACTTCGCTTCTTTTTGAAGGAGGAGGAACCGTTGGGTGAGACCCAGCAAGTTCTGAGCCAAGATGGGAGTGAGTGAATCCAGGGTGGAGGCTTGAGCTGGCAGCCAGCTCTGCCTTACCACTGCCAGGGGTGCTGTGAACCGGGCCCAACCCCTGAGCCTCAGCCAACCAAGTATCCTCCACCTATCCACCTCCCAAAGTGAGCTCTAGCCAGACTTGTTCTCTCCAGGCCAGAGCTCTAGTATTAGCACTTAAATACAGGTTTTTGTTGCTGAGATGTGAGTGAAACCAACTAGTTTGTCAATAGCAAAGACTTGGAGACAGTCTACCGGATAGAAGAAGGATCCTCCAGCCTGCATCTCATTTCTTGATTTCCCACAAATCCAGTCCCACCCAAACCGACTTGCCAGGCACATGCCCTATCTGGCACAGACCTGCATTCTTGTCACACCATCTTGGGTCTCAGGTAGCCTGGGAGGAGGAGATGCTCATATTTGTGCAGGCTCCATAGATTGGTTGGCAAAAGTAACATTGAGTTTCAGAAGTCATGACATCTCATAGCTTGTCCCCTTGGGAGATGATCAGAGGATCTGGGATCCCTGCTTTCAATAGAAGCAGTATGACTAAATAGAGAGTATGGAGGGTCCCCTCTACTCAGGCTCTTATGTAGTGGTTGTAAATGGGTCCAGTGAGGGTCCTCCTACCAGCACAATCTACCCCCTAAATGGTGGAGTCTGGCCCAGAAAACACCAGGGCTTGAACAGAGAGAATTGTTAGATCCTAGGTTTGCTCCTGCAGGCGGGTTAGGCCCATGGCCTCATTTACCTTCTTATGAAAGATTGACAGGTGGCAAAGGAGCTGAAGCTACAGATTTCCAGGGTGATCCTTGACAGATCAAGCTCATCTTGTCATGAGTCCTGAGCAAGAAAATGCTTCTCTGTCTGGACCCTCTGGAACCTAGAATTGGAAGCAGGCAGAGAGCTTCAAGGGACAGCTGGGGTTGAGAAATTCTGTAGTCAAGAGATGGTGGCTCAAGCCTGTACTCTCAGTGAATTGGAAGCCCGAGGCAGGAGGATTGTGAGTTCAGAGCTAGCCTCAGCAGCTTAGTGAGGTCGTAGGTAACTTAGACTCTGTCCCAAAATAAAAAATATAAAGAGGTCTGGGGATGTGTCTCAGTGGTTAAGTGCCCCTAAGTTCAATCTCCAGTACTATAAAAAAAAAAAAAAAAAAGTTTTTTTTTTTTTGGAGGACCTGACCCAAGTGCTTCAGAGAACATTCTCCAGGTGCCATGTGGACATAGCCTATTCCACTCCTGCCAAATGCCTTCTGCTGCTGGTGATTCAATAGTTCTCCCAGAAGATACCTCAGGGAGTTTGCTCTATGACTGTAACATCCATCCTATAACCTGAGATAGTCATTCCAGTTGTTCTACATTCTATACTCTACCCCCAGGAGCCATGTGATTAAAAATTGTTCCCCAGCTTCTAATGAGCCATGTTCTGTCTGTTCTTTTGGAGGATAATAAGAAATGTCGCTTTAAACACGTGTGATTCCGGGCTGGGGATGTGGCTCAAGCGGTAGCGCGCTTGCCTGGCATGCGTGCGGCCCGGGTTCGATCCTCAGCACCACATACCAACAAAGATGTTGTGTCTGCCGAGAACTAAAAAATAAATATTAAAAAAAATTCTCTCTCTTTCTCTCTCTCTCTCTCTCTCCTCTCTCACTCTTTCTTTAAAAAAAAAAAAAAAAAAACACGTGTGATTCCTTAATGATGGGGGGAGTGGACCAGAAATACAAGAATGAGATCTAAAACATCTGGGTTTGAATCAGTGTTCCATATTCAGTCCTACCCTACCCTATCCACATAAGAGTCTCGGTTGTCAGTAAAATACAAATGGTGAACTTGTTCACAAGATTATTATGAGAGGGCAGTTGCCAAAAAAGAAAGCAGTATATTCACCTACCCATTCAAATTCATGTAACCCTGGAACTGACTCCAGGGCCTCCTGTTCTTCACCTGCTCACTCTCCCCTTCATACATTCCAGTTCTGGCCTCCTTTTGAAAAGCTGCCCCCCCACTCCCCCCCCCCCATGCTCGCTCGCTCCACTGGAATGGGTCAGGCCAACATGTGATTGAAAGGCGGAAAAGGGAAGGGGATTGCTCTCTCTCCTCTTGGCTCCAGTCAGGATATGGCTGCTCTGGGCCCACCCCTGACCCGCTGGGTGGAAACAGGAAATATGTGAGACTTGGTGTTTGCTGGGTCTCTGCTTCTGGCTCCATGGCTGATAAGGGCCTTTGTGTGACCACTAGGGATGAGCCAGCCCTAGATAGATGTGCTTCCCAGAGAAAGGAAGGAAGCTTTACAGGCCTTTCCTGAGTGTGGGAAGCTGTGGGGAGGTAAGGGGAAAGTGCCTAGGGAAGATCCCTGCCTGGGGCTGTTGGTGTCAGCACAAGCCCAGTGCATACCAGCCCCTCCCTTGCCAACCTCTCCCTCTGGAAACTGTTTCCCCCATCCACTTCCCCATTCTCACTTCCTATAAGGAATGGCTGGAGCCTGGAGAGTCCAGTCCCAGGCCAGGAAAGTGTCAGCTGTGATTTAGCAACAATAAAGATAGAAAAACAGGAACACTGGGGGCAGGGAGTACAGTGGAAGAGTAAGAAGCAAACTGCTAGAAGTTGCACATATCCTAGGAACCCAGGAACTAACCTCCCAATGTTACCTGTTTGGGTGACAGAGGAGGGTAGGACAGGAGCCTGTCCCTTTGGGCCCAGGATGGCCAGCCCTGCCTCTAATAAAACTTGAGGGGTAGCCAGGCACGGTGATGCCAGGCACAGGGATGCACTGTGTAGTCTCACATCTTAGTTACTCAGAAAGCTAAATCAGAAGGCTCATTTGAGCCTAGGAGTAAGAGATGCTGGGATTGGGGCTGAAGGTCAGGGAGGGGGTGCAGGGAAACAGTCAAGCTTGCGCAGCCTAGGCTAACACAGCAAGACCCCATCTGAAAAACAAAAGTGGCTTATCTGTTGCTCTCAAGAGAAAGCCAAGTTATAGGGACATGCAAGAGGGGCAGTGCTACTAAGGGATCAAGCAATCCTCTTGGCTTAGGTGAAATAGCTCCTATTTGGGGGAGCGGTCACTGGGCTTTCCAGCTAATACCAGAGAGTGGGTAATGGGAGAAGCCCAGCCAAGGAGCTGCTGGGAGAAAGGGGAAAGGCCTCCCACCCTTTGACCTGGACAGGCTCAGGGTCCCCCATGGGTGACTGCATCAGCTCCTCTGGTTACCTGGGACAACAGGCATTTCCTCCATGGTTCAGCCCCTCCTCTTCCTGCCCCAACCTTCCTGGCCAACAGGCCTCTCAATCAGACCTGGACTGGACTGCTCCAGCTGTGTCCTGAGGAGCTGGACCAGCCATATCCCTTGGGGCTGGAGTTGAAGCAGAACCAAGTGGTCATCCCAGCGTGAGAGTGTAGATTCCTGGCCTCGGATCAGCCAGGACCAGTAGGCAAGCAGGCAGATCTTCTCAGCCCCGGCTCAGCGATCAGCACACTGGCTTTCCACAAAGCAGAATGGCGCTGCAAGTGGAGCTGATACCCACAGGGGAGATCATCCGCGTGGTTCATCCCCACAGACCATGCAAGCTTGTAAGATTGGGATGCTCTGGGCTGGGAGGAAGGGTGGCAGTGTCTCCACTGGGCCGGGCCAGTTCTGTTAAGCACGCCCCAAGGAAAGATATGAGCAGTAAGGATGGGTTCTGATCCCTGGTGGTTAAGAAACTGGAAAAGGAGTGAGTGAAAGCAGGGGATAAAGTATTAGGGGCCACCAGAAGCAGGATTTTTCAAAGCAGAGATCTGAGTTTGCATACTTCTTCCAGCTCCCTGTACCTCAGTAGGCTGGACTATGAACTGGACATAACAAGCAGCTGAGGGTGCTACTCTGAGGTCAAAGGAGTAGTGCAAGTAAACTGGTGCGTAGTAGGATT